AACTATAGACCTATGACTTCGGTGAATAAGTTAAACAGTGGCTATCTGTATAGATGGGTTATAGGTCTATACTTCCCTGCATAATCTGAATAGTCTACAAGTAGGTTTAGCTTTTATAATGTAAAAATAAAGAGTTCTACTTTAAAAAATGTAACAGACCTAAAACTAAGGAACATTATGATAGAATAATAATCAAGTAATTAACATCCATACAAAGTAAATACATTGTACTGAATTTCAAATACAATCAGCAACTAATGGGAAAGGCAAATAAAACTGCCTACATTCAACTGATGTGACCTACAGAGAAAGCAAAGTCACTTGCTTCAATCTAATATACCCAAATTCTTTGTTTAAAAGAACATTCCTGTCCTTGTTGTAGCATAATTGTTTCACAGCTTTTATCAAGACTATGTGTTATTATCTAAGAGTCTGTTTACTATCTTAAGCTTTTTATGCCTGTTGATTAATCTTTCCATACCACAATTGTAGGTTTCATGTATCCCACAGGGAAGATTTCTATAAGTGAAGTTCCTTTAAATGAAGTAAACTTGTTCAGGTATATATGTTTAAGATAGGAATAATGTGTGGATTTCATTAAACCTAAGCCTCCAGTGATTGCATTATTTTTGAGCCACAAGAAAACATGCTACTAATTATAATCAAGAGTACTCTGATTGGAAGATGCATTCCAATTTCAGAGAAATTATAATGTAGAAAATGGGTATCTTAGAATTGATGGCCCACTCAATTCTTGGAGTGAGTGAAGAAAGTATGGGAAGGAATAGAGAATACCAGTTTGACTCTGAATTACAGTTATAGTAGACCTGACCACTTAGTATCTTTGAGCCTATTTGCTCATCTGAAAAATGGGGGGAAAAGATATCGCTTTACCTCATGTCATATTAAGGGTAGACAGACATAAATAAAGTTGCCACCTACTAAAGGATTTTAACTCAATCTGAATTTTACTAACAATAAAATTTAACTTGGGGGGCTGGCAATTGCACAGTGATAAAATGCAATGGTCTGTGGGGCTGAGCCATGAAAGTTCCAAGTTTATGTCCAAAGACCTCCCTGAATATGCTGGATGTGCACGTGCAGTAATCCAGGATGACTGAGGCTGAGAGTGGCTTGTGGTATAAAGATACTGGTGAGGATGCGCTTGCTCTCTCTCCCTCTCTCTCTCTCCCCTGCTCTCTCTTTCATGGAAGAGATAAATGAATATACTTTTTAAATTTTATTTCTTTTCTTAGAGATGCCACAGAGCTATATATATATATAATTTAATATAAAGGTTGTCAGAGAAATTGAACACTTGGGGCCAAGTTCTTTTTTAGTTTTCTCTGTGTCTTCTTGCCCTGAGGCAGACAGAGAGACATGCACACACACAATATTTTGTTACCGTAGCAATGGCCTTAGCAAGGCCTCTGAAGAGCTGGATATAAGCAGACAGAGTGTGCGGTCCATATATTGTAGAGGCTGCCTCATACCGCTGAACCTACAGGAGAAGAGGGGAGAGTTACGTATGGTTCTACAAACCTCAGTCCATTTCCAGAGTGTACATTGCAGATGAGGGTGGTGGTGAGACATCTCTCATGATTCAACACCATCAAAAGGTTTTCAGGATTATTCATGACAAAAGGGGGCAGAATTCCCATTTACTAGTCATCAACAACTAAAGGCAGTGGGATCTCTTTGCTTAAGCCATTTAGACTGTCTCTTCATGTAATCTGAGAGATGGTGCAAGCTCCTGAACTTGTATCTACTGTATCTGTGAAATAAATATTTTCCCCCAGCACTTAAATCAGGAGAAAAATCAAGGAAGAAAAGCGTCCTAGTAACTCCTGGATGAACTGGGTGCTGATGGTAGTAATTGGAGAAGGATGCTTGACCCTTCATAAAGTGATGAAACAGCCAAATGCATGTCCTTTTACCTGCATTCCAAGCCTTTGGTTGTCCCATAGGAACCTCAAAGTCACCAAATATAAGCCACAATTCATTTTTAGTCATCATAACTTTCCAGGCAACATGCTTCATCTCAGTGAATACCATCCTTCCAGTTTCCCATCTGACAGTCATCTGGAAATCAACTTAGATCCTTTTCTCTCCTTCATCCTACATCTTGTAAGTCTCTAAATCTTGTCATTCTGCCTCCTTAAAATCTCTTGAGTTCTTCCATTTTCCTTTGTCTCTACTGCTTTTACCTTCATTCAGACCTTCATCTCTCACCCAAATCTCAAACTCTAGCTTCCTAGTCAATGCACTGCCTGTACTCGTGCCTTCCGATCGATTTTCCACACTGCCATGCTAGTGACTGTTCTAGATTGCAAATTTAATTCTCCTGTTTTGAATCCTACTGCAGTTCCCTAAAGTCTTTCTTACTAAATCAAAGTTCTACAAAATATCATATAAAACTCTCCATCAAGGAACTACTCCCTTCCTCTCTAGCCCCTGTCTCATCCCATCTCCCTCCTCATATGTACTCCACGGCACTCAACTAATTATGATCCACTGATGTGCTCAGTCTGTTCCTCTGGACCTTCATATATGGAGTTCCCTTTTGGGAATATCTTCCCAATTTTCACTTGCGTAACTCACTTAGTCTCAAGAACTTAGGCAGATGTTATATCTTCCTGAATGTCTATCAGTCCCCATTCTCGAATATCAGTCTAGACTGGTGCCTTTTCTCTTAGTCTTCGTATCACTTTGCATGTGCCTTTCCCAGAAAGGTAGTTGTGTGCTTGCCTCTGTCTTTCTACTACACCCTTAACTTCCAGTGGCCCTGAGGGCAGGGGCACAGTCTTTTCACAGTTACATGCTAGTATAGCATCTGTCACAACATATAACTGTTGAGCAAGTGAATGAATGAATGAATAGTAATTACTGAAGCATATCCCTGGACCAGGAGACAATCTGAAGGAGTTCTTAATGTGTTTGTGACTTTTCTGGCAGTCTGTTGAGACCTATGGACCCCTCTCAGAAGTCTGTTTCTAAATGTATAAAATAAAATACATGAGTGACAAAGGGAACCAAGTAGATTGAATATATTCAATTCCATTAGAGTAAGCCAATGTTATAATATAGCAATGTATATGCTACTTTTTTATACTATTGAATAAAAAGACCAGTATGTCTAATAACTTCTGTGATTTTAAAATAGTGATGAGTAAAAGATATTTCCCTATCTCCAATAACTATATATGATATGAAAATACCCATGATTTCTACTGGTGAAAAAAGTACTGTTAATATTACCAGCTACCCTGACAAAATAACTGATGTCAGGAAAGGTGAATGTCACTGAGATTAGAATTCTACCTGAACTTGAAAATAATAAATGTGGAACTCCCAAATACAACCTATCTCATCCATTTTTATCTGCCCTAAAACAAAATAATCTCTTAGAAACTCAATTGGAAAAACCTAGAAAGAAAGTCTGTATTTGACACAATGGTCTTGACTAGTGCATAATTCATTCAAATGATGAGAACTTTTTACTGTACCTGGTATTCTTCATAAGTGGTGATATAGTGTGTATAAACATTGCACAAACCCGAAATAACAACTGTCATATTCAGCATCCCATAAGCTGTAAATTCCTATGAGGAAAAAATGGAGTCCGATAAAGTTATTCTTCACATTAAAGTATATTATCACCCCAGTTACATTTAACACACAATTATCACACAATTATCATGTGAGCTACTAGTTTCAGCTGTCTCTCCAACAAAACTATGCCCAAGATCCAAACTGCTTAGAAACTCAGAGGCACCATAGAGTTCTTGATGAAAAGGTAAGAGTGCAATCTTGCACCACAGTTGTGGAAGTCAGGGGATCAATGGAGTTTTTGTTGCTGTTGATGTTGTTGTGGTTGTTTTAGGTTTTTGTCATAGGGTGTGTGTGTTTTCCAGAGAGAGAAAGAAAGAGGGAAAGTGAGAAATCACCCCCACCCAAAGGGGGATGGCCACACCACAATCCCTTCTCCTCTCAGGATTTGGGGGACACACACCCATGCTTATAGTGATTTTAATTCCACCTGGTTCAGAATTGAAAACATGGTCTTCTACATGGGAGTCCAGTGCCTTAACCACTATGCCACCTTCTGGCCCTTCTATGGACATTTTAAGGATCACATTTGCAGATGTAGAATCGCTTTGTTACTAAAATAGGGATTTGTAAATCAATTTTCATAGCAGATGGCTATTAGCTAACCAGAATTGTTATATTCAGGTCCATGTATTTATTGATATGTTATTTTTAGAACAATTTCTAATACTTCCTGACTGTAAAGGAAGTCATAAATATGGGTAAAACACTGAATTTCCAAAAAATGATAGATTTTTTTCAGATGGTTCACAGGACATTAAAACAGTAAGGTCTTATTTACTTTTTAATCCCTAAACCTATTACCAGTTTTAAAATTATTCATACATAAATATAAATAATTTTTAAGAGACAAGGCCTTTGAATTTATGTTCCTTCTGTTTAGAATATTTTTCTTTCACTTACTACCCCTCACTCCCCACCACCAAGTCTTACTTTACTTCAGTTATTTTCTCAAATCTCTAACTGGGATGCTAGTTCTGTTCAAACGATATAAAATATTCTCTGAAGAAACCATAAATTCAAAGATCCTGAAACAGGGCCTCTGTTGTAATCTCCCTGTCTTAGCTTCCCAAGTAACAGGCACTCCCAAACACAACCCCAGCTTTTACAGCAGCTTAAGGATCAAACCCAGGTCTTCACTGTGGCCTCAATCTCAAAGTAGCAGTGTCAACCAGTGCAAACTTCCATGGATGGGTCCCCATTGTTAAGCTGATGAAAATTCTTTTATTTATTTAATTTGGAGGGGAGAGAGCTTTTTGCTACAGGGCGCATGCACTCGCCAGAAAGACAGAGAGATAGAAAGTGAGAAATCACCCCCCAGGGTGGATGGCCACACCACAATCCCTTCTCCTCCAATCTCCTCTTGGGATCTTGGGCACGCACGCACACACGCCCAGCATGAGTTTAAGCCACCCGGTCCAAGACTCGAACCACAGTCGACTATATCGGAGTCCAGCAACATAGACATTATGTCAACTGCTGGTCCCTTTTTTCTATTTTTTAAGCTTGGTTTTTATATAACCATTATTTTATATTCACCTCTAGCCATTAACTTCAAGAACTGTGAAACTCAAGTCATCTTAGGAAAAGGTACCAGATCACAGGAATAGGGAATTTTTTCCTCTTCACCAGATACAAATGTGTAGATATGTTATTTTATTTTTAACTTACTGCTTGAATTGCCTCTCGAAGTCTTCGTCCAGACATGGTCCTGAATAAAAAATTTAAAAATAATAATAATCACACAAATTTTCTTCTATTCAGAATGTATACAAAGCATATAGAAAGATTTGTAGTTGAAAATAGTTATCCTGCTCATTGCGTACTAGTAAAATAGAGAACTCGATGATACAAAGCTGAGATTTTTTTTCTGTCTTGTCTTCAGAACAAGTCTTAATCTGAAAAGAGCCACTTTGACTAAAAAAGGAAAAAATAATTAGTTAATATCACTGAATAAAAATTATAATCATTTTCCAGTCATTGATTTAATGAATCATACCAGCTGCATTCTATGTTAAGAAGAGTTTGGACAGGTAAAAAGTGTACAGCCGCTCCTGTCTGGAAAGAATTTACCATTTCATTCATTAATTCATTCAATTCTTCAATAAAACGCCAAGCATCTACTACACACCAGGCCCACTTCTGGGTGCTAAGAAAGTACAGAGCTTTTCTTTAGGGAGGGGAGATGGTCAATACACAAAAAGGGTATACGTGGTAAGTGCTGTGGAGAAGAATGAAGCATGGTGCAGCTGAAACGGAGAGGTAGTGGCCATGTGGTGATGGTGGCCCTAGAGCTGGTGCTGATGCTAGTGATGACACGGTGGTCACAGTGGCAGTGCTCAGTGAGACTACTGTATATAGTTTGAACAGAAATAGCACCCCTGTTAGAAATGTGAGTGAAGAACTGAAGGAATATAAGACTTAGAAGACGTCCCCGTAGGGGAAGAAGGGTGGTAAGTGAAAGAAAATTATTCCAGACAGAAGAAACCATATATTCAAGGCCCTGAGATGAGGCCATCCTTTGTGAATCTGGAAAGTGCGATGAAGCCAAGGTGGATGGACCAGGTTTGAACAAAGGGGAGAGGGGTAAGAAACCAACTCAGAGAATTTACAGAGGAACAGATCCTGTGAACTCAGGGGATTGAGGATTTTCCTGGAATGAGAAGCAAAGCTACTAGAGGGTTTTGAACACAGAGGTGACATACTCTAACTTAAATTTTCAAGGGATTATTCTGGCTGTTGGGTTGTGAAAAGACCATAGAAGTTAGGGAGGAAGCAAGCAGGCCAGATATGAGGTTGTTGCAATAATCTGGATAAGAGATAGCGACTTCCACCAGGGCAAAGTCATGGAAAGTGTTGAGTAGCATGTACAGAATTTGCCAAAAGTTTGAAAGAGAAAATATAGGAAAGAGGAGAATCCAAGGATGCCTCCAAGATATGGGACCTGAGCCATCGTAAAGTTTTTAAATTGCCACTTATTTACTGAAGAAGGAAAAATTGCATAAAAAGCAGGTCTAATATATTCTTCCATGTTTTTAATACCTAAACCTGTATTTTAATGATTTTTCGTGGCTTTCTACTGATCCAACTTATGGTATCATTTTAATTTTCCTCAATTTTTTTAAATGTCCATGTTTGCTTCAGATAATAGCCAAGTAATAGGCACAGAGGGATTTATTCTTCAAAGGAATCACCAAAAGAGAGTAGGAATATTTGTCAAGTATAGTACTCTGGTATGCAGTGTAGAATTATCGTTTCATAGTAAGAGGTAATTCCAACAGAAACACTCATCCAATAAACACATGTTTACCTCCTCTTCATCTGTTTCATGTTTCCCTACTGCACATTATGCTGAGATGTCCACATTTTCTATACTATCCTTTATTATCAATTAGTCAAGGTATTTTATGATTCTTTTCTTTAATGTGCTTGTCCAAGTATAGCCTTTCAGTACCAAATCCTCTCTATCAAAGGCCTGGTTTGTTCTCAATATGCAAATTGCCAGATGCTGAGTCTAATTTTTTTAAAAATAAAAATAACTTGGTTTTGCCATTAAAACGAAAAAAGAAATCAAAAGAAAAACTTACGTAAACTCCCCGGGGACAGCTGTTATGGCCAAGGACCCAAGAGTAATAATCTGAACATCGACAATATCTGGATGCCAGGGATGAGGTTTTGATAGCTGAGAAGCCAAAACATGACTGTGTTAGGAATATTACTCTTGTAATGGTCAACAGATGATAGTCTCAGAGTTTCTTTTATTAAAGGATTTAAAATGTTTCGATTTTATTTGTTTTTCTTTTTCATCCTATCCTAAGATTTGTGTTTCTTATTTGTGATATAATATTAAATATTCTACATGAGTATTTGTGTCCTGGTCATAACATGTGAATCTCAAATGACAATGCCCAATTAACTTGGACTTGTCACTGAAGTTTTTGGTGGATTTGACATTGTTGGATTACGACATGTGACAGACTGAATCCTTGTTAAAAGGTTCTCCTAGAATACTGTGGGTGACTATCCTTACACACAATAAATAAAGAATTCTATTTGGAATAGTTTAACTTAACCACTGATATTTTACTCTAGCACTTCAGTTTACAGTTGCCAAGTTTTGTCCTACTTTTCAAGATTTCTCCATGAAAATATATTCCTATTGATACTCAATTAGTGAAGAGTCTCTGTATCTATCTCTTCCCTTCTTCTTTTTGTTCTTCCTTAAGAATTTTGATAGAATACTAGGGGGAGAGAACTATTTTTGAAATATATAGACTTCAACCATGCATGTTTCCAGGAACACCTAAATGACTTTCTAACATTCAGAATGTGAAAATATATATTCCAAAGGAGTGTTAAAAGGAAATTGCTTTAGTTAATAATGTAGCTTGAACAATAAGAAAATCAAGTTATGTCCATGTTTCTTCTCATGTGACCTAAGATATTTTCCTCTGCAGAGAATTCTGTGTGGACTTCCTTCCTGGAGCCAACATAAATGTTTCCTGAATAAAATAAATGTTAGTCCTATTCTTTCTTTCCTATTGTCTCAATTGTTTCCATTTACTTATCATAAATGCCATAAGAAAGCCCTCCTATTAAATAATTCAATTAAATAATCGAAAGCCTTATTAAAATAGAGTTAGACTCATAGCCTCCATATTATTAATATGAAAAATTTGTGGTGAAACTATCTAAGAGCTCAATGCCAATAGATATCTACCATTCATTATCTATCATTCACAAATTTTAAAATAACATACTAACTTCACTATGATAATCAAAATGCTTTACCTCTCCAGTGTGAAGAAGGACTGGCTTTGGTTTCTGACATTCTTTGATTTCCTCAGACGGCCTGCCCAGGATCTGGTCCCGAAGGCTGTCCCAAAATGGGTTCCCTTCCGTTGTCCCTATTAGGAATATTATGGTTAATATGATTCTAATATGAATCAACCCTCTGGAAAAAGTCATTAGTTTGATAAATATTGTACAACAATACTTTTAGAATTTTCAAAGATTTTATAAGGTCGTTGTTCAATGATTTCAAAGAGTTTGAATAATAGATGAGCCAGAATTTCCTGTGTCTCATAAAACAGGACGTTATTCAGTTAGTTCCTTGGTGTGGTTAAGAGAACAACAGAATATCCCTAAAGTTTTATTTTTATTACTCATCTATGTTGAAAATAAAAACAATCTGATATAATTAACTGCAAATTTATGAACTAAAACAACTTTTTTCCTGTTTGAAGTCTAAAAATGATACCTTCGACTCTCTGTATCATTTCTTGGCTTTTTGTCCCTAAAAGAACATTTGCCAAATCCCCCATTTAATTATCTGTACACACACACACACGCACACACATACACACACAGAGACACACACACACACCATTAAAAAACAAAAGCCAAGCCTAAAATGCATCCTCTAGGAAAAAAGTTTTGTTAACTATAAAACCATATATCGAGAATCTATAATCCATTGGGAAAATACAACAGTTATAAACATCTATTTACCTAATAGCAGAACACCAAATACATGAACTAAAAGTAATGAAGGGAGAAATAGGTAATTTAACAATAGTAGTGAAACTTTTAATAACCTCTTTCAATAATGTTAACCCTCTATTAACCAAGTTCTTCGGTGTTTCTTATTCCTCATTCCTTCCAAGACTTTGATAATCCCCCCTTCTATTCTCCACTTCTATGAGGTCAAATCTTTCAGATTCCACAAAACAAGTGAAAATATGCAGTATTTGTTTTTCAGAGACTGGCTTTAAAAAAAAAATTCTATTTAACTTTCTTTCTCTATTTATTTATTTGTTTGTTTTAATTTAACCAGAAAGGGACAGAGCGAGAAAGAGAGAGGGAAAGTAAGAAAGCAAGCCACCAGGTCTGGGACTCGAACCACAGTCAGCCATTTGGGAGAAGAGCACCCTTCACCACCACACTACCCTACTGTTTTAAATTAGCATAAGTTCTTCAGGCTCATCTATATTGCTGCAAATGACAGAGTTTTACGGGACCAGCAGTTAGCATGATGGCTATGTCGCTGGACTCCCACGTAGTCGACCGCAGTTCGAATCCCAGTCCCGGTGGCTTAAACTCACGCTAGGTGCATGTGCATGCGTGCCCAAGATCCCAAGAGGAGAATGGAGGAGAAGGGACTGTGGCGTGGCCATCCCCCCTCGGGGGTGATTTCTCACTTTCTATCTCTCTGTCTTTCTCTGTCTGGTGAGCGCACGCACCCTATAGCAAAAAAACCTCTCCAAAAAAAAAAAAAAAAAGGTAGAGTTTTATCCTTTCTGACTGAATAATACTCCACTGTGTGTGTGTGTGTGTGTATATATATATATATATAATATATATATATATATATACCACATTTTGTTTATCCATTCATTGATGGACACTTAGTTTGATTCCGTATCATGGCTTCTGTGAATATCGCTACAATAAACATAGAAACACAGATAGGTTTTCAACATACTGGCTTCTCTTCCTTTGAATATGCACTCAATGGTGGGAATTACTGGATCACAAGGCAGTTACATTTGTAGTTTTGTGAGGAACCACCACTCTGTCTTCCATAATGGTTACACTTACTTACATTCCTACTAACAATACACAAGTGTTCCCCTTTCCTCCTACTGTCATTCTTTTTTTGATTTTTTTTTATAATAGCCATTCAAAGAGGGGTGAAATGATACCTCATCATGATTTTTATTTCCATTTCCCTGATATAGACAATGCTGAAATTTTTTTAAATGTAGTTGGCCATTTGTATATCATCTTTAATGAACTGTCTATTCAGATCAATTGGGCTTTTTTAACTGGATTTTTTTTTTCTGGTGAGTTGTTGGAGTTCCTGGTGTAGTCTACCCTCCCTGCTTCTGTCAGCCATGTTGTGATGCTAGCCCCATGCGTTTATACTTTCCAACCACCAGAATTACAAGCAAAATAAACCTCTATTCTTTATAAATCACCCAGTCCATGTCTTTCTGTTAGCAGCACAATAGTGGACTAAGGAACAGAACCCTGAAGCTTCAGAACCTGGAAGTGTAGGCTTCATCAGACTTCACCTTACCTTGTGTAAAATTGAGGCTTCCTGGCCCATCAATGGTTCCAGCTGCAAAGCTGTAGCCCAACGCTGGTTTACACGTTTTTGCCTAAAGGAAGAGTTTTAAAATCAAAATTAAAAGGAAACCAAAAAAGAGTCAGAAATTAAACTGCAAATAAATAATCAGACCAATCCAAAGCTTTACCCTTGAGGCATAATCAGTGCAACTCGGTGACACTTACTGTGTGTGTAGAATTGATCTGGACAGTCACGTCTGTCATATTCACCCACTGGTGAGCCGAAACCAGTGGTCCAGTTATCTCCTGGGAGGCAGAGTCATACAGTTCCTAGAAAAACCCACACGGGCTTATTGTTTTAAGCAAAAAAGCTGAAGTGAACAGTGCCCACTCTACCATAAGTACTACTGTGGAAAAGCATCTCTCAACAAAGCATTCGGTTTGCTGGCTGCTTAGAAATAACCATTACCCACACGGATCCCTCTACCAAGCCCAGTTGCTTCCTAGAAGCTCCAAGGCCCCAAGACGGTTGACTTTCTACTCCTCACTACCACAAGAATCTAGTGATATTAAGTGTGGCACAAAAGGCCTCAATCTCAGTTAAAAGTCAAGATAGTCTAAGGTTAGGAGTAAGTGAGCCAAATTAATTTCTTTGCTAAAATGACAGTGCACCCTCAGGTACTCTTTCAGTGTTCTCTCTCGGAATCGAGTCCTCCTAGAGGATCAGAGCCACAGGCATAAAAGACCAGACCTCATTTAGTCTGCATCGTCTGTCCCACCCACAAACTACCTTTGGATGTTTTGTTTATTAATTGTCCAGAAGGCATGTTTGCTCCAGAGAGATAGAGAGAGAAAGAGAGACTGAGAGACACAGAGAGAGAGATGGAGAGAAACAGAGAGAGAGGGGGGGAAAGCACTCTCTAAAGGGGCATGGTCACCCTGCAATTCCTTCTCTTCCATTTCTCCATTTTCTTGGGATTTGGAGCACACACACACACACACACACACACACACACACACACTATATTTCTCAAGCCACCAAAGCTGAAATTCAAACCAGAGTGGGTTATGTGGGACCTGGCTCCTTAACCACTAGGCCATAGGACACCAGCCCTGTTTTTTTTTCTTTTCTTTTTTTTTTAATATCGTCAAATGATGCTTTTATGGGAAATGTGGGTCAAAATACACATAGAAATGACTATTTTTATTCCCCGGTATCATACAGTATAGGCAAATCCTGCTTCAGCACACATCTGATACCTCACTCATCTCCACTCTGTCAGTATAGGCAAATCCTGCTTCAGCACACATCCCCTTATCTGATACCTCACTCATCGCCACTCTGTCCCCATCCCAGTTTTTCTTTTGAGAGATTTTCACTGTAGGGCGCGTGCGCTCGCCAGACAGACAGAGAGAGACATAGAGACAGAAAGCGAGAAATCACCCCCCAGGGGGGGATGGCCACGCCGCAATCCCTTCTCCTCCAGTCTCCTCTGGGATCTTGGGCACACACGCACACGCGCCCGGCGTGAGTTTTTTAAGCCACCAGGTCCGGGACACGAACCACGGTCGACTACATGGGAGTCCAGCGACATAGCCATTATGCCAACTGCTGGTTCCCCCCATCCCAGTTTTAACAGCTACGTGTGAGCTCTCAAGATAAGTCAACACTCACACCAGCTGCAGCCTGCCTCTCCTAATTGAGAGGAAAGTTGTGATGCTGAAAAGAGAACCTAGAATGTAGGACACATCTCTATGGCTCTGAAACCCAGAAAAGGAACAAAATCTCTGACACCAAATTGTGTCACAGGCGAATACTCTAAACAGAATCTGTTAATTTAGAATAATCCATTGATAATACCACAGTAATTACAAAGAAACTACAGCAATTAGGCTGGCTGTTGCTACCAATTTTGTGTTTGATGGTTTTTAAAGGTACTTTCGTTCTTCCTTAATTGCTCCTGAAATATTTTAGAACTCTAGAAATAAACTATTTAACCACAGACACACAACAAACGTATGAATAAACTATAAAAACAGGGGGATTTAACTATCTTTAACAGGGATGTATCAGTTTGAAGTCATCTTTTGTCATTTTCCTCAGAAATCTGTTTCCATAGATGTTGATACAAAATATGGGGGTCAGAATGGAAGATAAAATTTAGGAGAGGGAAGATGATAAAATCATTCAGAGTAATCTCACTGGAGACCAGATTCTTCCTTCATCAAAAAGTTCTATGAAAGGGACCAGCAGTTAGCATAATGGCTGTCACTGGACTTCCACATAGTTGACCGCGGTTCGCGTCCTGGACCCGGTGGTTTAAAACTCATGCTGGGCGTGTGTGCGTGCGTGCCCAAGGTCCTGAGAGGAGAATGGAGGAGAAGGGATTGTGGCGTGGCCATCCCCCCCTAGGGGGTGATTTCTCGCTTTCTGTCTCTTTGTCTCTGTCTGTCTGGCGAGCGTACACACCCTATAGCAAAAACCTCTCAAAAAAAAAAATTCTATGAAAGAGAAAGAAAAGGGAGTTGGATAATGGTGCAGCAGTAAATCACTAAGCTCCCAGAAGTTGACCTGCACGGAAAGGTTCCAGGTTTGCATTTGGAAACCTCCCTGAGACCAATGAATGAGTACAAGCCAGTGATATGGGGCTAGCTGAAGTTGGGAGCGGATTACAGACTGGGGACTCTGTTGGTGGTTCAATCTCTCTCTCTCTCTCTCTCTCTCTCTCTCTCTCTCTCTCTCTTTCTTGGAAGAAAGAATTTTTTTTTTTTTCTAAATAGGAAGGAAAAAAATCTTCATTGCAATATCAGAGACCAGGAACTAACTTGGCTCCAAGTTCCAAGAGCTAGGAGTCATGGTGCTCAACTTTACTGCCACCAAAGGAAAAGTCAAGGAAAGGTCAAGGCGAAGGCTTGAGAAACTTCTGAGGCTTTGGATCAGTCTGGTCATGTTGATGCCACATTAACTGAAAACATTACCATCTATTTTCTCACTGTCTGAAGCAGGTACTCTGGCTTTCTAAATATTCCAAAATAGAATGTTTTCTTGATTACGTGGTTTTAAATGTACTTCCGATGAGAAGTCAGATCAGAGCAGTCAGCAAGAAGTTCCTGTGTGGCTTGTGGAGGAAACGGTCCAAGGTGATGCCTTCCAGACTCTCCGGCGACCTGAGCTCTTGCTGTCTTCCTGACAAGTATCCACTTTCTAATGGACCATGTCAGTGGGTTTTACAGAACGAGTTCAAATGAAGTCAGAAGTTACGCCCACAGCTTACCTGTGCTTTCTCATATATGGCCTGTCCTATAGTTTGTGTGCTTTCCAGCATATCCTGTCGTGGTCCTTTAGCAACACACATGCCAGGCTGGAACGACACAAGACAAGATGCATTCTCAGTGAGATGAGTGACTAGTTCAAGAAGAAAATTGCAGTGGAATGGAAGCAATTCATACCCTCTCAACTTTACAGATTGGGGAAAACAAAAACATACATGGAGTTGGAATAGTCAACATATTTAGAAAGTATTTACACCAGAACTTCCTTTTAAAGTTAGCAACTTGAGGCTCAGATGGAGTAAAGGATTTGTCAGAGACTATACAGGTAGCTCGTACCTGAGCTAAGAGCTGAAGACGGGTCTTTGCACTAGCTGGGTGTCTGCTTGCTGTGCTTGCCTAGGATTTGTTCATGATCCTCTTAAAGGGAAACTCAGTAAAATTAAATTGCAACAATGAACTGGATCCGTGGAAGGAAAAAAATCATAAGTGAATCTGCCCTATTTCTTACCTTAAAAATTTTGAGATTGGGGACCAGCAGTTGGCGCAATGGCTATGTCGCTGGACTCCCAAGTAGTCGATCATGGTTCAAGTCCTGGACCCAGTGGCTTAAACTCATGCTGGGCACATGTGCGTGCATGCCCAAGATCCCAAGAGGAGAAGGGATTGCAGCATGGCCATCCCCCATGATGGGGGTGATTTCTTATTTTCTGTCTGTCTTTCTTTCTCTCTGTCTTTCTCTGTCTCTCTCTGTCTTTCTGGTGAGCACAGGCACCCTATAGCAAAAGACTCTCAAAAAAAAAATTTGAGATTGATCAAATATTTAAATAGAATAGATAGAATCTAAAAAAGACATATGGGTGAATCTATTTTATAGTCTGAGGTTATGGAAGATCCTTCTAAAAAAATAATAAAGAACAGACTGACTAAAGTTGACAATTTAAGTATTTTGCATGTCCATATGCGGGAGAGGAATAATAAATAAGGCAGAATGAAAAAACTGGGGGGGGGGTTTGTACTGTTTATGACAAAATAAAAATTTCAATATATTTGGTTGTCAGAAAAGTCATGATGTAATTTTTCTATGTGTTTCTACACAAAAATGGGTCATGACTTCTCCAACAACCCAATATTAGGAGCTTTAAGAAGACAATTGAAAGATATCCTTATTAATACCTTTTGATTCATTCATACAGACTTGAAGTTCCTCTTATATGTAGTAAAATAAAAAGTGTCCTAACAGACACTCTGGACTACAAATAAAATTAGGTAATTTAAAAAAATGTAAATGGATGCTGGCCCCATGACACATTTACTAGGCACTGAACAGAGGAAGCCAGACTCCACTTGGCTAACAGGGGTCCAAATCTTGTCTGTGTCACTTCATGCTGGGTGTGGGTATAGGAGCCCAGGATCCTGAAGAGATAGGTGAGGTTGATGCACATGTGGATATATGTATAACAAGGATAATGCTTATAGTGTGTTTGCATGAAGGAATAAAAGAAAAAAGAAGATAGGTAGGGGAGAAGGAAAGTACTCAGTAGATGATTAAATTATGGTAATTAAAGTGACCGCATGACATTGGCCCAGGAGGGTTGTTTTCTCCTCATCTCCCCACTCTCCATTTCTCTCTCTTTCTGGTGACCACATATACCCTCTGGTAAATTTTTTAAAAATAATAATAAATTTATTTTTAAATGTCCCGAAGAGAGACCCAAGCAGTCGCTGGGGCAATGGCATATGTTATCTGCCTTGAGCTGGTGCTCTTGAACATATCTCTGGCAAGGCCTAGGAAACTGTCCTGATTGCATAAGATTGATCTGAACTAGGGATGGGATCCGCTTCCTCTGAGTCCTGCTATGTGTGACATAAAATGGCCTAATCAGACTGAAGAGGAGAACCATCATGCCATGGTTGGATGACAGGGAGATTTTCCTTCTTTCCTATTGTCTAGGTGAGAAAGCATATCATCCTATTCATTGCTGACCACCATCTGCAAACATGAAAGAAGCCAATTCACCCATGGGAGAAAGCAGAGACAAACAGAACTCTGCTGTGCGAGGCTGGAGTGAGTATGACACCTGTTATAACTGTGTCTGATATAAAAGTATGCTTCATATAGATGTGTGTGTGCATGCAAACACACATATATAATACATAAATCAGAGAATTAAAAACCACCTGTAAGAATGCCAAAAGATGAAATTATGGTTACTAATTCAGGATGTTTCACTTTGTTTTTTCTCTTTATTTCCTTTCAAAACTGCAATCACAATGAATATACCATGATAAATTCTGAGTTTCTTCCTTAACATTACATATTATAAGTTTTTGCCCAGTATTCCAACAGAAGATATTAAATTGATATATAGTATTGTATGGCAGAAAAGTATTTAACTATTTCATCTACAAATTTTAGAATTTAACAACTAATTTTTTTTTCTTTTTTTGGAGAGGTTTTTGCTATAGGGCACGTGCACTCGCCAGAAAGACAGAGACAGAGAGATAGAAAGCGAGAAAACATCCCCCAGGGGGGATGGCCACTCCTCAATCCCTTCTCCTCCATTCTTCTCTCGGGATCTTGGGCACACACGCACATGCACATGTGGTGTGAATTTAAGCCACCGGGTCTGGGACTTGAACTGCGGTTGACTATGTGGGAACATAGCAACATAGCCATTACGCCAACTCCTGATCCCAACAACTAATCTTAAAAATCTACTATAAATTAATAATGTGTATAAATTTTTCAGATGAAGTATAAAGATTCTCTACTTAACAATAGTAATACATACTATAGAAGTACAATTGTTAAAACACCATTGTTGTTTGAGTGGGTTCCACTGGAATAGAATAAATAGCTCAGAAATCGTGTATGATTGAAGGAATATCTCTAGTAAATGTTCCACAGGGAATAAGAATCCAGAAACTAGCATCTGCTGCCTAGGAAAAATTGGAAACAAATCTAAATGCACATCAAGGGAAAGTGGTTTAATAAATGATGTGATAGCCAGTATTTTGAAACTCACGCCAGGTGCATGTGCATAGGTGCCCAAAATCCCAAGGGGAGAATGGAGGAAAAGGGACTATGGCATGACTATTCACCCTATAGTGGTGATTTCTTGCTTTCTATCTCTCTCTCTCTCTGTCTCTCCAGCAAATTCATGCACCCTATGGCCAAACTCTCTCTCAAGGGACCAGCAGTTGGTGTAATGGCTATGTCACTGGACTCCCATGTAGTCAACCACAGTTCAAGTCCTGGACTCAGTGGCTTAAACTCACACCAGTCGTGTGTGAGTGCATGCCCAAGATCCCAAGAGGAGAATGAAGGAGAAGGGATTGTGGCCTGGTCATCCCCCCTGGGGGGTGACTTCTTGCTTTCGGTCTCTCTCCCTCTCTGGGGAGTGCATGTGCCCTATAGCAAAAACCTCTCAAAATAAAAAAGAAAAAAAAAGGAAAAACAATTTTAAAAAAATTAAAAAAAAAAGAATGGGATAGCCTTTCTTACTTACTGTTTTAAAAATTGCCACAAAGATTTGGGTATCATCATAAAAGATATTTTTTAAATAACTATTTTATTTAACTTTATTTTATTTATTTTAACTTGATCAGAGAGAGACAGAGTGAGAGAGAGAAAGGGAGAGAGAAAGTGAGAAAGCAAGTCGCCAGGTCTGGGACTTGAACTGCAGTTAGCCATGTGGGAGTCCAGCACCCTTAACCACTACTCCACCTGCCAGCCCTAAAAGAGATTTCTAAGACAAATAGGTAGATAACTCAAGTCCTTGGCCAATGAAAAACAAACACACACACAAAAAGAAAAAGTTACAGAGTTTTGTTTATGAATGCCTAAACACACACAGAGAAAGAGGCATCGGGGTGATAACATCTGGGAAGGGAAGTGAATAGAGATTTTCACGTTTACTCTTCTCTGTGTTTCTATGGTTTGGATTTTTACAGCGATATTTTATTTGTAATTTTTAAAAAAGGAAAATGAATGTTGATCTTGTATTTAAAAATGCTACAGACTCGATAATCAGTGAGAAATGTCTCAGGCAGGCAGTTTTAGGTACAAACTTTTAACTTCCAAAATGCCAAGACAAAATGTTTCAGACGTCCAAGATGGGGAGGACAAATCTCTGACATTTACTAAACTGTCTCACAATTTTAAAACTAAGCAGTCTGAGCCAGTAAGTGGTGTGGTGGTTAAGGTGTTAGACTCCCACATGGCCGACTACAGTTCAAGTCCCAGACCTGGCAGCTTAAAAATCATGCCAGGCACATGTGCACGTGTGTTCAAAATCTCAGGAGGAGAATAAACTGTGGCACGAACATCCTCTCCAGTGGGTTATTTGTCACTTTCCCTCTCTCTGTGGGCTTGAGCAGGTGATTTAAGAAGAGCAGAGGCAGGGCCAGTAGGTAGTGTAGTAGTTATGTTGCTGGACTTCTACGTAGCCAACCACAGTTCAAGTCCTAGACCCAGTGCCTTGAAAACCATGCTGGGTGCATGTGTATGTGTGCCCAAGATCCCAGAAGAAGAATGGAGGAGGAGGGATTGCAGCATGGCCACCCCTCCTGGAAGGTGATTTCTTACTTTCCCTCTTACTGTCCCTGTCTCTTGGTCTCTCTCCAGCGAGTACATGCGCCCTATGGCAAAAACTTCTTCAAGAAAAAGAGGAACAGCTGCTAATGGAAAATAGGCCAGCAGATACTTCATAATAACGTATTTGTAAATGATGGATCAATATTCAAACATGAACTGTGTGTGAGATATAGAAACAAAACGTCTTGTGCCGTAACTACCTACCCCACCAATGGGACAAGTGCTATTGGCGTTGTCACAAGACTCTCCCGTGTTGGTGCAGTGTGGTCCAAGGATGTTGGGAGACACATCTCCTAGGTTTGATGAAGCGAAAGCTGCTACATACGGGCCCTGCCAAAAGAAACATCCATTTGTCTTTTATTCTTTTCTTAGTTGCCACAATGACTTCCAAGGAGAATGCAAACATTCAATCCACTCTGTAAAACTATTCAAAATCATTTGCAAACAATAAAAACCAGAATATATTCCATATCCTGAGAAAATGTGTAATTTCGGAAGAGGCTCACATAGCCATCGGTATACACTTTGTGACTGAAAACGTCCCGTTCAAAATAAAAGCTGTTTCAAGCAGAGGAGGTTCAAATGTGTGTCTCAAGCAGAAATATTTTGACAAGAAACACAATGACAAATTATAAATGCTGACCCACAATCTAGTCTTTAATGTTTTATCTGGAACATGGAGTGCCCTTTGCCTTTAAAAAAATAATGATCTATTGGCTTAAAAAGAAAAGAACAAATGCAGACTTTCCTGTCACAAAACTTAACCTAAATATACCACCCACCACCTGGACCTGCCCTCCACGTATCTTCTCTCTGTCTCTTCAGCCTCACTAGAGTGATATACAACGTCAGCCTCGAACCAGCTGGTCTATCTTTCCCCCTAAAATGTCTTGTGTTTTCTTAGGTAAAGAGATAGCTAAGAATTGGAAATCATATGTCTTTCATTTAAAGTGAATTTATTTATTTCTTCCATGAGAGATTAAGAAACAGTGTCAGGCACCCCCACTAGGGTCATCACGTTGCAGTCCATTAAAGCCCCAACCAGTCTGGATTAAGAGCACAGCATGTCCAGGGAGGCCCAGGGACAGGAACCCAGAGCCCTTCCATGTGAGACCAAATAACAGAGCGTTACATTCCCACCGAACCACCAGCTGACTCCTGACAATCATATGCATTTTTTAAAAATAAAGATAAAAAGATAATTTAGGGTGGTTAAGGTGACTGGATTTTACAAGACTGTATGGTTCAAGTCTTGGGCTCAGAAGCTTGAAACACACACCAGTGTGTATGTGTGTGTACCTCAAATCCCAAGAGGTATGTGGAGGAGAAGGGAATTCTGTATGGCGTGGCTATCCCCTTAGTGCTTTCTCTCAGTCTCTCTCTGATGAGTGCACATTCCCTATAACACATCTTTTTAAAAAGATCATTTATCTCAAAGTACCTAATACCCAGGGAATGATCATAAATAGGAACTTCCTTTTTTTTTTTCCCTAAAACTCAGGCTAAAATGAGAAAATAGTGAGTTTTATCCACAAAGAAGTGAAAAGATCAGACTGAATGTTAATGTATTCATAACAGAACATTAATTATAGGCATTACGCCTAGGCCTCTTGTCTCATATTCTTCTCCATGTGGTGCTCAGGTGCCAAGGTCGAGCAGAGCAGGGTCCTTCTTCCCACTTTTTTTTTTTTTATCTATAGTCACTAATTCACACAAAGTTGAGGGACTACCTGAAGTACATGGACTGGTAAAACCCCCCATGTCTGATTCTGTCACTCTCTGAGTTTCAAAGTCATAAAAACAAATCTGATAGATTAGGGATGTTCCTGACATAAGCCTTATTATAGGCAAACAGAACAAGATCCTCGAAAGGAACTTCGCCACTAAGAGGCAAGTCTGGACAAGTGAAAAGGACTCATCACTTGTCTTTAGTCAGGGTTCCTATACCATTAGGAAGGTGCTTAAGGGGCCAGCAGGTGGCATGGTGGTTAAGGCACTGGATTCCCACATAGCCAACCATGGTTCAAGTCCCAGACCTAGTGGCTTGCTTTCTCACTCTCCCTTTTTCTCTGTCACTCTCTGGTCAAAATTGAACAATAATAATAAATTTTTAAAAATTAAAGCAAAAAAACAGGTGCTTAATACCTTCATACCTCTGTAAACAAAAGTAAATGTCAATGTATTTTATCCTATTTCCAGCTTGACCAAAAACTACCATATATTACAAAAAAATCCTTGAATTTGCTCTTTCTTATCCAACTCATTATAACTATGAAGCCATCAATATAAGTAGTATATGACACACACACACAAATGATGTACTAGCTATTTTAATTTCTCTTTTTAGGGAGGATGGTGAATTCTTTCTCTGTGACCTTATTAGTATGTGGTCATCATGATGATGCTTTGTTCTAGAGATTTGAATCAGCTATCCCAAGCATGCATGAATGATGGTACTCAGTGAGTCAAAGTGGTTTTCAATGAAATGAAGTCTTACCTGCCCAGGTAGATATCCTCTGTTCTTTTCTTGCTCAAAAAGGTAAGATGCATAGCCCATGTTGTCACTATTTACAAGATGGTTGCTGTTGTTCATGCTCACTGGGTGGATGGCAAACCAGCTGTGAAAGAGTGAGGATCCCTGAGTTAACTGAGAGAGACAGAGAACTGGGGCTAAAACCCATGACTGGGGACTTAAGTTTTTTCCAAAATGGGAAACAAATTTTTTTTAGATATTTCACATTTAGATGACTTTACTGCAGTGAGTTTAAATTACTCAAGAAAGCTAGTCACCAACATAAATTAAAAACACAGAATTCTGGGGCCAGCAGGTGGTGTGGTGGTTAAGACACTGAATTCCCACATAGCCGACCATGGTTCAAGTCCCAGACCCAACAGTTTGAAAATCACATGAGATGCACGTGTGTGTATGCCCAAAATCCCAAGAAGAGAATACTAAAGAAGGAACTGAAGCATGGCCATCCTTCCTGGGAGGTGATTTCTTACTTTCCCTTCTTCTGTCTCTCACCATCATAATTTTTTCTTCTAAATTTATTTTATTTAATGAAAGAGTGATAGAAAGTCAAATACCTTTAATAGTCTCAAATTATAACCCCCCCATCCCAGCCCACAGCCTTTCCCACCCAGCCTTTCCCAGCCAGGACCATGAGCATGTGCATGCATCCTAAATGTCCAGGTAAACCTAGGACCCAAACCCCAATCATCCATGTGGCTTCTGGCATTGTAGAGTGTACCAGCATGCCAGCATGCAGGACCGGCCTCATTATAACTTTTTTAAAAGACTTTTGCCATAGGGCATGTGTGCTTGCTAGAAAGAGACAGAGAAAGGGAAACTGAGAAATCATGCTCCCAGGAAGGATAGCCACCCTGCAATCCCTTCTCCTCTGTTGTCCTCTCAGGGTTTTGAGCACACACACACACACACACACACACACGTGCCCAGCATGATTTTCAAGCCACCAGTTCTGAAACTTGAACTGTGGTCAGCCATTTGGGAAACCAGAGCCTTAACCATCATGCCACCTGCTGCCCCCTCATAATTAGCTTTAACAAGGGCCAAGACTATTCATTTATCAGATGCTACACTTAAAGAATTGAAAAGACAGAGACTTTGTCCTTCAAGACAGGCAGAGATAATAATTATTCAAATCAATTCAATCTAATTCAACAGACATTTACCAAAAGACAACTGTATCCTAAACATTAAATAAACTGTGGTTTACTTTCAGAATCTCACCAGAGACAGAGATGTAAAGAAATGGCCTTAATACAGTATGACAAATGTTATAAAGAAATAGGCATAAAGCGTTTGAAGCAGCAGATGACTAGCAATTGATTCTTAAGGACATCACAGAGAGAGGGAACAGCAGAGTCATTGTATGGAGTCATGAAAGGGGATGTTATGTATAATTCAGAATGTCCTCATGCATAGTAATACCTTGTCTAAGTGCAGGGCTATATGTTTATGAGCTAATTCCACATCTGTTACTTTATCTGAAGTTTGCAACAACCCAAAGAGACAGGCTGTTTCACCCCCACTCTGCATGGGTGACTTGGAGAAACAGAATAACGGCACACTTGTCATAGAGGATTAGGACTCAAGGATGAGTATTGTGACATTTTGTTCAGTGGTCTTTGTAGGACTGACCTGCAACACAGGTGAAAGTGGTATTCACAAAACAGAAGGCAGTAAAGCAGGTTAACTGAAAGGCTCAAGAAAAAGATGCCTATTCACAAAGTTTTGGGTTAATTTGGGATTAAAATTGTAAATCTTCTGTTGATTTAAGTTTCTGCAGAAAATATGTTAGACACTGTAACTCACATTTCCTACCTACATAATACAGAAAACTAAACATTCACTGAATGAGGAAGAATGTTTTAGAACTTTAAGATCATCTCTGAGGATTCAGTTCTCACTGTCTAATAGAAGCAGACATAGGTCAGAGGTGATGAACTCAAAGCCCACCAGGGGTGTCGGGCAACACAATCCAGTTAAGCTGATTGGTATGATAGGGACTGGTGTGGACTATAGGGATCTGGAGGCACTTGTTGGTCTAAAGCCTGCAGTCTTCCTGCTTCTAGCCACATGTTGCCTTAAGAGAGTATAAACCAGTCTGCTAGATTTTCCACTTTTTTCTAAACTGACTACAAATCTATTTTTTTTATTTAGTTCTTTGTTTTAAGTTTTTATTCAAGTATACAGCATACAGAAAAAGTTCATATACCATAAGGGTATAGCTCCCTGAATTTTTACAAACTGAATACATGCACAACAGCAGCTCGAGAAACTAACCTGGGCTGGCCCCATAGCCTAGAAGTTAAGGGATCCAGATCCCATATGGCCACCCACAGTTTGAATTCCATCCCCAACAGCTTGGAAAACACACCAGGCATTTGTATATGTGTGCTCCAATTCCCAACAGGATGGAGAAATGGGGAGAGGGATTTAAGTGTGACCATGCCCAATGGGAAGTACTTGTTCCCTGTCTCTCTCTCTCTCTCTCTCTGTCTCACATACACACTCTGTCAATTTAAAAAAGTTTTTAAAAGAAACTAACATTACCAGCCTTCAGAAGCAACCCTTTTCCAGCCTCAACCTTTCCCTCATAGATACCCACAATTTTCATTTTTTTCCTTTTTTAATTTTAAAATTATTTTTAATTGACATAATAATTCCATGTATTTATGGCTTATGGTGTGGTTTTCAGTGCATGAATATAATATGTTATGAAGTCAAGATAACCAGTTATATATATCATCTCAAACATTTGTTATTACTTTGTGTTGAGGGCATTTAAAATCCTCTTTTCTAGTTATCTCAAAATATTCAATTAATCATTGTTAACTACAGTCACCCTGTTGTGCTATGGAACACCAGAACTTAATCCTCTTCTCGAAAGTACTTTAGTATCTCTTAACCAACAACGCTACTCTATCCCGTCCATGCCCTTAATCTTCCCAGCCACTGGTAATCACTATTCTACTCTCTCTTACGAGTCAACTTTTTTAACTTTCCCATTTGAATGAGAACAAGTGGTATTTTGCTTTCTGTACCTGGCTTATTTCACTTAACATAATGTCTTTCTTGCTCACTCCTGTTTACCTTGAATGACAGGAATTCATTATTTTTAATGACTTAATAGGATTCCATTGTGTAGACAGACCATTGTTATTTCCATTCATCTATTGATCAACACTTAGGTTGATTCCTCTTGGCTAATGTGAATGGTGCTGCAATAGACATGGCAGCACAGATCTTTCAACATACTGATTTTCTTTTCTTTGACACACATTCCTGTATTTACATGTATGTATTGATTTTAAAATTCTTCAAGGACTAATAGCAAGGAAACAAAGAACAAGAACTGCTACAAATTAATACTTAAGACATAGCAAACAAACATAATTTTTGGACTGTCTGGACTTGATTTAAAGAAAACAAAATGATTATATTTATAGAATCAGGAAAAGCTAAACATAGCTGGCATATTAGATCACAGTAAGAAATCACTTTTAGTTCTGTTGATTATTATAATAGATTAAAAATATCTTATTTTTTAAAGATATTTATCTGATAGAGATACACACTGAACTATTTCTGAATGAAATGTCTGCTATGTGGTATTTGCTTTAAAATACTCTAGCAAAACAAACAAGAAAGTGAAGGGGAGGGTGAAATAGATTATCACAATACTGGTAATTATTGAAGTTGGGTGATAAGTTACATGGAGATTCATTATACTAATCATTTTAAGTTGGCATATATTTGACATTTTCTACAATAGTTTAGTTAGTTAGTTTGTTTGTTTGCATGTTGCATCCATTTTGAATTTTTTGGAAAAACAGTGTCAGGCCAAATTTCCAGCCTGTAGGTTGACTCCAGTTCTTAAGATGCTTAATTGCAAAGCTACAGACATTTAGTCTGAAGGTGTTCTAAAGTCATCCCACTAGAAGTTACTTGCAAGGTTTTATATTTGGGAAAATCCTTCTATTAGATTTTTTGGGGTCAGGGGTAGGATGGAAGAATTGTTGACTCTCAAAAAATCAAATGTCAAGGAAAATTCTAATCAACTGGTCTTTTTTCAGTTAGGTGGAGTTTGCTCTTTTGGCATTTTGCTCTATTTAGTTTGGAATGAAAATGTGGCAATGTCCACAGCAGTTCCACGGCTGCCCAACTAAAACATTTCTGTCCGATATGATTATCAAGGTCAGCCAGATTCAGCAACACTGCAAATACTCCACAGTGATCAAAAAAAGCCCAGAAAACAATTCTCTCAACATTGACTAAGATTTAGTACCCATTAAGCAAAAGGCTTTATATACAGGATTTAGTTTTATTCTCACAAGAACTTTTTGAATTATGTACTATCATAACTCTCATTTTATAATTAAGGAAGCTAAGTCCCAGAGTGGTGAAGCAACCTGACCAAGGTCGCACAGTCATAAATTGAGAAGCAAGGCTATAAATTCAGGTTTTTCAGACCTTATATACACTCTTATCTTATGAGATACTAGTTCTGCTCTTTCTTTTGATTCACTTGCTCATTTAATACACATTTAGTTACCTTTGACTCTGTGTCAGGTACTGGACACCAAAATAAATGAGGCATCATGTCGCCCTTGAGAAATGGTTCATGATGGATGTGATATTTGAGCTGGGTGTTAAAAGATGAGTAAGAATTTGACAAAGATATCACCAGAGAAGAGGCATTTCTAAAAGAGAAAATAGCATCTACACAAGCATAGAGACATGAATAAGTACAAACGTATAGAAAACACACAGAGAGTCAGACTGGCCAGAGAAGAATGGGCTTGAGCAAGGAACGATAGCAGATGTGCCATCCATTCAATCAGCATGAAGTTCTGGGTAGCCAAGTATGTGGGAAGAGACATAGAGAGGACTTGGACATGTTCTCTGCCATCAAGGACACTACAGGTAGCCAAAATGTGGATAAAGCAAATCTTGATGGTTTGGGTCTACTAATTAGATGAGACTTGATTTCTTGCTCATTTCATTTATTTGAAAGCTTCAGAAAGAAATTGAACTATTTTTGTGCAAAACTGAAAAAAAAGTAATCAAAAAAAGTTATCTGAATTGTAG